TCTGTAAAATGACATGAAACAAGCTTTCCGATGGTTCCTTTTTCCTTCCTAGATGAGAAAGGGTCAAGGTGGTTGGTTCGTGCTATGGCAACAATATTATTTGTCGCCCTCGTTAGGACACTTTTGAGAGTGAAAGGAAAGTTTGTTAATTACTACACTGGCTCAAAAGATGTAAACCAGGACCTTCGCTGCAAACCAGGACACATGCAAACACTCATCTGGTTAATCACAGGGCGAAATGCATGAATGGATGGCTGGTTAGACATTGATCTACTGCAGGCTCGGTGCCAGGCACGGGGGAGGTGTCTTTTCACACTGGCTCGCTGGAGACGCACACCAGCCGCCAAATGGGGGCTGTTCTTTCACGGCTGGGGAGGGGGGTGGGCAGAGAGCCAAAGCAACTGGCCCAGTGCCACACACACAAGCAACCCCTGCCCCTCCGCCGGGAAGTAATGAAACTGGGTACCCAAATGAGCAGCAGGACAAAAAGTGCTCCCAGCCAGGGCCGGGGCCCCTGAGGACCCTGTGCTGTGAGGCATGCAGACCCCGGAACGGGTTGCTGGGTCTGAGGCCGAGAGCTTTGTAGACACCTCCACCTGGGCGGAGTTCAGTTCCCGGGAGCTGGGGCGGAAGGCTCACAGTGGAGGCAGATCTGTGACATGAAAGCTCCACGCAACCTTCACTGAGGGAGAACCCCCCCCACTCCCCCTCCCCGCGCCAGCTCTCAGCGGGACAGACCCCAGGCTCCTGCCTCCTGGCCCCCCAGGGCCCGCCTACAAACCAAGCCACTCCAGGTTTCCAGCCTGCCATTAACCCAGACCCAGGAAAGTGCTGGGTTCTGATGAGAAACACAAAAGGAGACAGACAATAGGGGTGTTAGTGACCCAGGAGAGAATGAGCAGGGCCGCCTGGAGAGGCATCTGGCCATGTGGGCAACACATGCATGCCCTGGGGGACCTGACTCCCCCCCCCAGTTATTTCTGAGCCTAATCGCTGGCGGGTGGAATGAAGAGCTATATAGTTTGTGAATCAAGAGGTAAATTGTGTAAGCCCAAGGGAGGGCATGGGCCATGGGGATAAGGGTAAGATTTCTACACCAGAGCTGGACCCTGAACCCTTTTGCACCGCCTCCCCGCTCCGACCATCGGCAATCTGGGCCCAGGGCCCTCCCTCCCTAACCACAGCTGCAAGTCCCGCCCGTCCTCTCCAACGTGGGCGCTAGCGCAGCCGGCCTCGGGAGCACGATTCCTAGTTGGATCTTCCGCCTGGAGTTTACTTGGCACCCCCGCCTTCATATGGGCTGTTCCTTCTGCCCAGAGGGCCTTTCCCTCTCTGCGTGGCTGGGGAACTCCTTCCTGCTTGTCCTTCAAGGCCCAGCTCCAGGTGGAAGGTCTGGAGGGGCAGTGGCCGAAATCGGGGTGAGGCAGGCTGGTGGCTGTACACATGAGGTCTCACCTCATTTCCCTTTTACAGAACTGCTTCCTCTCATTTTTCTCTATACTCAAGAAGTGTCGCTTTTGAGGAAGAAAAGGATTACTTGTAATGATGACGATGAGGATGCCAAGTGGGGCTTCCCTGGCGGTCCCGTGGTTAGGACGCCACGCTTCCGCTGCGGGGGCCACGGGTTCCATCCCAGTCGGGAAACCAAGATCCCGCATGGCACCGGGCAGCCAAAAAAAAAAAAAAGGATGCCAAGTCCCAGGTCAGATTCATCTCTACTGTGAAACTCACCTTGCCCCACCAGGCGTCTCGGCCTCTTACTTCTCGGGGCCCCCTGTGCCTTTTCTTCAGGAGGCTGATCATGGTTTGTGACTGCGTGCATTTCTGCTGTTACTTGAATGACATCTCTCACCCCCACTGGCTCCATCAGAGCAGGGACAGTGTCTTTCCTTTTTTAAAAAAATCAACTTCATCGTGATATAATTTCATACGATAAAAGACATCTATTTTAAGTGTAGTTTAATGAGTTCTGGCAAACGTATACACACTTGTAACCAACCATCACAAGCAAGATACACAACGTTTCCACCATGCTCCCTGCAGCCAGCCCTGTCCCCACCCTGGCAGGCAACCAAGGGTCTGTTTTCTGTCCCTATAAATTCGTTTTGCCTGGTCTGGAATTTCACATGGGTGGAGTCACGCAGTATGTCCTCTGCTGGGTCTGGCTTCTTTTCTGTAGTGTAATGCTTTTGAGCTTCAGCCAGGTTGCTGCGTGGCTCAGTGGTTCTTTGTTTATTGCTAAGTCCCTTGTACGGATGAGGCACCATTTGTTACACTCCATCTGTTTGTGGGCATTTGGGTCGGTTCCATCTTTAGTCGTTATGAATAAAGCTGATATGGACATTCAGGAACAATCATCTGTGTGGACATATGCATTTGTTTCTTTGGATAAATATTGGGACTGGAACTGTTGGGTCACGTGTAATAATATGGCTAACTTTTTAAGAGCTGCCAACCTGTTTTCCAAAGTGTCTGTACCATATTACTTCGTCAGCAGTATCGTGGGAGAGCGGCGGTCGCTAAACACTCTCTCCAACACTGGGAACCACCCGACCGGGCCTCCTCTTGCACAGTGCACACCCTCAGCCCCTGGCCCAATGCTGCCCACCAAGGGAACTCAATCGATCACTACGGAATGCATGAGTGAATGCACTTTGCTTTGTTATTTTGTTATCATTTTCAAACCAATGTTTATTCCACTGCTCTGGGTGGTTTTTAAATTTATTTATTTATTTTTGGCTGCGTGAGGTCTTCGTTGCTGCACGGGCTTTCTCTAGTTGCTGTGAGCGGGGGCTACTCTTCATTGCGGTGCGCGGGCTTCTCATTGCAGTGGCTTCTTTTGTTGCGGAGCACGGGCTCTAGGTGCACGGGCTTCAGTAGTTGTGGCTCACGGGCTTAGTTGCTCCCCAGCATGTGGGATCTTCCCGGACCAGGGCTTGAACCCGTGTCCCCTGCATTGGCAGGCAGGTTCTTAACCACTGTGCCACCAGGGAAAAAACACTCGCTCTGGGTGTTTTTTAATCTTTTGTTATTTTTAATAATTACACAAATAATACATGCTCAGGGTATAGAAATTAGAACAGTAGTGAAAAAATAATTTTAAAATTACCCCTTAATCTCTCCATCCAGAGACCCATGTTCCAGGCTCAATATTGGGCACTGGGAAAACAAAGATGAATAGAGCACACTGACTATATGCAGGGGTCCCACAGGCTCCAGCTGCCTGGACAGGGGCCACACATGGGGTCAGCCAGAGGAGGGGGGCACACAGGGGAGGCAGTGAGGAAACCCTTCAAGGGGGTGGAGAGGCATGAAGAAGGGACATGCGGGGGGCCTGGTGGACAGTGGTGGCCAGAAGTGGGCTCATAGGTGTCTGGGACTTCCCAACCCCAAGGCTAAGAAGGATGCTGCCCGGTTGGTCCTGCTGCCCCGCTGCCTCCTCAAATGCTGTGCGCCTCCGTGCAGCCACAGGGCACCGGCCCAGGACGCAGAGTCATGGAGGAGGCCGGCCCCTGCGTGGGCCCCTGGGTGTGTCCATGCTTGGGCACAATCTCCCCAGGAGCTCACAGCCACCTTTGCTGACTCCTCCTCCGGGTCCCAAGCGCTGAATAACCAGGTTGGCTGGCTCCTTGGACCTCCCTTCTCCACCTACTCTCTTTCCTTGGTCGCCTGACCAGCCTCTGGGCTCTACACATCATCCATCCAGTACTGACACTCATATTTCTCTTCCCAGCCCTGCAGTCTCCCCTGTGCCCCAAGCTTGGGCGTCCATGGTATAGCTGCCTGTCTTCCCATCTGGCATCTCCCAGCCATCTGTGCCCTCGAAGGAACTCCTGACACCCCTGGTTCCCAAAGCTGTTCTTTCTCCATTCTTTCCACCCCAGAAATGGGCACCACCGTTTGCTCTAGTCCACAACCAAGGAAACATTCTTGATTCCTTTTTCCCTCCTCACCCACATCCAATCTACCACTAAATCCTATTGATTTCACCATCCAAACACTTCCCAAAGCCCTCCAGGTTTCTGTATGTCCAATGCTACCATGCCATTCAGAAACATCAGCAATTCTTGTCTGAACTGCCTCGTAACTGCTTCCATGATTACTACACCTCCAAGTTAAAATCATGCATCAGCCAACGACTTGTTTTTGTAGAAACAAAAATTCATCCCACAATTCATATGGAATCTCAAGGGACCTGAATAAAAATAATCTTTAAAAAGAAGAACAGGGCTTCCCTGGTGGCGCAGCGGTTGGGAGTCCGCCTGCCGATGCAGGGGACACGGGTTCGTGCCCCGGTCCGGGAAGATCCCACATGCCGCGGAGCGGCTGGGCCCATGAGCCATGGCCGCTGAGCCTGCACGTCCGGAGCCTGTGCTCCACAACGGGAAAGGCCACAACAGTGAGAGGCCCGCGTACAGCAAAAAAAAAAAAAAAAAGAATAGAATAGAGAGCCCAGGAATAAACCCTTGCATACAAGGTCAAATGATTTTCAGCAGGAGTACCAAGACCACTCAATGGTGAAAGGACAGTCTTTTCAGCAAATGATGTTGGGAAAACTGAACATCCACCTGCAAAAAGAATGAGGTTGAATTCACCTTATACACAAAAATTAACTCAAAATGGATCTAAGACCACAACTTAAGAGTTAAAACTATGAAACTCTTAGAAGAAACAGGAGAAAGCTTCATAGCACTGGTTAGTGTTTCATGGGGCCAGAGTTTCACTTTGGGAAGATGAAAAAGTTCTGGAGGTGGATGGTGGTGATGGCCGCACTGCAGTGTGAATGTACTTAATGCTACTGAACTGTTCACTTAAAAATGGTTCAAAAGATAAATTTTGTTATATTTTGCCATAATAAAAAATTTATCCAAAAAAATCATATATCAGCTCTCATCTGTCACTTTTCCACTGAAAACTCTCCAATGACTTCCCACTACTCCAACCTGGACCCTGAGGCTCTGTACAGTGTGGCTCCCGGAAACCTTTCCCCTTGGCCCAGATTGCTCCCCCCACCAGATGCCAGCCCCTCCCCTTCCACTCCCCACATGAAAATCTCTGCAAGCTGCCTGCCTGCCGGCAGCCATCACCACAGTGGGCTCTGGTTTGCCCACATTATCCCTGTATTCCGGCCATTATCTATAATGACAACCTGGCATAATTATATTTTTACAATTTGTATAACTACATTCTACTGAGCTAAATGATCTTTATTATCATTATAAAGTATTTATTAAGCACTTCTAGCCATGCAAATCTAATGAGAGGTAGCCTCAGCTCTTAAAAATCTCCCTTCCGAATTCCATCCCAAATTCATTTCAACTTTGGTTATTCCTCCTTCCTGGAGAAGGAACAGGGAACTTCTATGTTTTTTGCCTGGGGCTTTATATGCATATAAACTTTATACCATATAAGCTTCTCAGTGATGCTGGGGAGCAGATGTGATTAGCCTCATCTTACAGATGAGAAACAAGAGAGTCAGACTGCGGGAGCTAGTAATTTAGTAATTTAGGTCTTTGTGATGGCAAAGCCTTTACCACTCCTCTCATGTAATGTGATAGCTTGGCTTATTAGGAAGGGCTTCTTTTTTTTGGCCTTATTTACATCTTACATGCTAAAACACTGTGCCAGCCCAGTGGGATAAACACACAAGTAAACAGATCTTTCTAAAACAACATCCTAAGTCGGGGGTCACAAACTCAAATGTTCACAGGAGCCAAGCAGGCAGTGGAAATGGTGAAGCAGACAGGTGAGTGATAGAGGGTGGTGGGGACGGTGGCCAACCCAAGAGCACGCGACTCATCTGACGACGACAGCCAGCTTTGCCATGAGGCAATGTGGGGTCATGTTGTCTGCCCCTCCCACTCTTCCAGTTAGATTTATAAGTGAAATCTCCAGAATTTTAAATGTTGGCAACTTTGGCGGGTACTGGTCATTGTCCAACCTACAACCATTCCCTGCCTCAAACCTCACCTCCCACCCCCTCAATTTTTGTCAGTAGGGATCAGATACCCTTTGATCTCAGGAAGATAGCCCCAGGGGATAAATCTTAATTGGTATAAAGCAATCCTAGCAGTCTCATTCCCTTTGGCCAGTAATTGGTCTCAGGTCCTAATTCTGACAAATGAGATGTAAGGGGAAGACTGCTAAGGAGATCTCCCCTTCCTTAGTAAAAAGACAAAGGCTTGAGACCTAATGAGGAAAGAGCCTTTTGCCTATGGCCCTTTCCCCTTGTTCCTGTCTAATGCAGTGATGAAGCCCGGAACAGCAGTGGCCTTTTTGGAACCATGAGGCAATAAGCATGAGGCCTAAAACCAACATGCCAAGAATGACAGAGCAGAAAGGTGGAAAGACCCAAGGTCTTTGATGACATCCTTGCGGCATCAGCACCAGATGCGGCCATGGCCACTATACATAAGCTCAATAGAGCAAGCCCTGGGTAGTGCCAGAGGGTGGCTGGAGAAAGAGAACAAATGACGTGTACAAGAGAGGCATCCTGCCACTTGTCTATTAAAGGCCTCCCGTGTAGGAGCCCTTTGGTGAGTATGGACACGGGCTACACCTCCCCCTCACATCTCTCCTCATTCTGAGAAGTTCATCCACAAACCCCTTCCCCAGACCTTTTTGTCTTTAAGCCTCCAATCTTGTTCTTTCCAAGTTCCCAGACCATCTGATAGCTGCTGCCCCTGCACTGCTGTAGATCCTGGACCTCTGGCTTTCTCTCCGCCCAGGCAGGTGGCCTTCTGGGGGAACCCCTTCACCTCTACCTTTCGGGCACAGTGGGGGAAGCTGTTTTGCACGGCATTCCACGTCTGCGTGGTGCCAGCATATTTACAAAGCAACCTATTAACTGGGTCTGCGTCTTCCTTCTTCACTCTTCTGCCCACAGAGAGTCCACTGAGGCCATCGTTGTGGGGTGTGGGGGGATGGAGCAGGTGCCCTGGGAGTCTCAGCCACCTGTTCATGTGACTTACTTGTGCTTCAGGGACCTGCGCAAGGCTGATAGCATCGTCCACATCGACCTCCCCGCGATGGTGGAGTGTGGCATGTGGCTCGGTGGAGCACGTCACACCCAGCTCAGCTCACACACTCACGTGGGGTCTGGCATTTGGTCTCTACCAGTGTCCAGCAGAAAATCGGGAGCTGTGGTTCAAATGGAGAATAGTTATTTGCAGAAGATATATCTTTGCTCCAAGCCCCTGAGAGTCTGTGCTACGACTCTGTTATTGGGATCTGCCAGAACTTCTTACCAAAGACACCCTGGCCTAGAACTGCAGTTACAGAGTTATCTCGTGAATGGGTCAGAGCAGCACACTGAGATGACGTTCAAGTAGTCTTTAAAAGTCAGAGAGCCACCAGCGCAGGTCACTCCAAACCTCACTCCACCGGCGTAGCTAAGCAAACTGATCAAGCCCCTCTTAGCTGCTGGAGCGAACACACACCGAATCCAGAATCTCTGGTAAATTGGCTATATTGATAAATTCAGCCCAAACCTACATTAAACTCTGCCCACCTGGACTGGTGCCGTTAGAATCCATTCACCTCACACTCCCCAAGTTTCTGATGATAAATGCATGAATGCTGCAATTCTTTCACTGTGTGAACATCTCCTAAATCGGGCTTTGCTGTTGCTTCCCTGGGGCATGCTGGGATCTGACTCCGGTTATGGATTGGAGTTAATGAGGGGGTGAGTCTTGAGAAGACTCAGCATCCCTGTTGCCAGGTAAGCACAGATGAGCTCATTAATAGGACTTCAAGCAGAAGAAGACTGATCTCAGGCAGGCAGGGGGCTATTTCCACTGACAAAGAGGCTCAGAGGGATGGGGGGTTAAATGTTTGCTTGTATCCTCCCAACCGTCCCTTTTCTAATTCTCAGGACCCCTCTCTTCCCAATAAACAGCCTAACTTCACAGAAAAGCCCAGGTGAAGCTGTGAATTCAAGTTCTGTCATAATTATGCCTCAGGTAGGATTAAAGGCAGGTGTGACCTTTAGCCCCATTAGCCCTGAGGCTACAAAAGATAAGGAACGGCTTAGGGCTTGATCTGAGAATTTATAGTCCGAGCTTTCAATTTTCTTTCTGAAATCTCTCTCAGCCTCACGAGAAGCCCATCCCACAAGGCTCCACCGACTTGGGGCAGCCTTGTCTTCAGCGAGCCGTCCATCCAGGCAATGGCTGGTGACAACTTAAGTGACTGTTTGGCCAGGGCATGCTGCCAGGGAGGTCATCCCTGCACCAGCACAATCAGATCAGATAACCAGCCCCAGATTCCCATTTTCGTGGGTCTGTTTCCTGGGACCAAGTACATGTGTTTCAACATTCAACCGGGAAAGCAGAAACTTCTTTAGATAGTTCAAACAGAGAGGGATTTAATGCTGAGAATTGACTTCAAGGGTGTGGAAGAGCTGCAGGAGCACGAGGGAGCCGGTGCTGAGGTGCTGCTCAGAGATCAGGATGCTGCTACTACTCCTGGCTGGGGGCTGGGCCCACACTCCCCGCAGACACCCCCCACCCAGTGCGGATGACTCACTGTAGCCACACTCCCCCACCGCCCCCATCCCCACCTCCCCCCCCACCCCGAGTCCCCACCTGCTGCCAATGCCTTCACACAACCGTAAAACGATGTCTTCTCCTCCATCCACAACTGCACTCTCTCACCTGGGTCTCCCACTGGGAGAATCTAACCAGAAGCCAGCTGGTGGAAGATTCTGGGAAGTGTAGGTACCCGCCTCCCAGCACCCCGGGTACAGATACAGCAGGGAACAAGGAAGGCAGCAGAAGCAATGGGCGCACCTGAGATGTCGTGAGGGTAAGTGGGCTGATGGATAGGTGCACCAACCACAGGATGATCAGCTAACTCACCGTGATTTTTCTAGTGCAGGGAAGCTCTGACGATCATAGATTCCTTCATTCTCCCACTGTCTTAGGTTCGAAGCTTGCTTCTTTTTTTTTGAATGCTGAGCATTTTCCCCCTTTTCTGCAGGTTTGTCTTTGCCGCACTCCTTACTTCTCAAAATGATTAATGACAAGATGCCCTGGCAGTTCCGCAACCTGAGCTTCTCACCCTCCTTGTCTCCTTGAATTCTTCTGGCTCTTTTCTGAGCCTTCCTCTTCTGTCCTCTTTCCTAAACTTAACCCATCCTGCTCTCAAACATGCCAGAAGAGAATGACAAACCTGATCAAAAAGCAGTAACCTGCTAGAGAAGCAAAACATCTAGAGACTGAAAAACGTCAGCTTGCTTCTCGTGTGGACCCAAGGACCCTCTTGCACAGCCAGCTTATGGAGGAAAGGCACTCCTTTGCTTTGGAGCTGAATCCTGGAGGCTGAAGCAGCACCTTCTATCTCTGCTCTGCACAGGGCATGGTGCCATTCAGTCATCCCTCGGCAAGCGGGATGAGCTTTTACGTTAGATCCACTCTCTTGCTTCAAGCCTCTTGTGGCTTTCCATTGCTCTCAGAACGAAAGCCAAGCTTCTCACCGGCCTGCCCGAGCGGGTGGCGCCCAGCTTGCTCATCACATCTCCAGTGCTCTCTGCCTCACTCACTAAGCTCCAGCCACACTGGCCTTTTTATTCCTCAGATTTGCCCAGGTGTCTTCCTTCTCAGGTGTTTCCCCACAGGCTATTCTGTACAGAGTGCTCATCTTATCCCAGCCCTTCTGCATGTCCTCCAGATCTGACCTTAAATCTCACTTTTCAGAAAGGCCGTCTTATCACTCTCACACTGGTCTGTTTCCTCATAGCACTTACCACAGGAGGTGTTATTTTTCTTGTCTCGCTTGTACTTGAAACTACGCTCCGTGACAGCAAGGACCATAGCTGTCTTGCTCGCTGCCTGTACCTTTCCTTTGTGCCTAGAAGTGCCTGACACGTACTGGGTGCTACTGGACCAAGACCTGAGGTCACAACGGTGAAGATGACACTGTCCCTGCGTTCTCGGCCTTCACCTTCTAGTGACAAAGCACACAGCAGGTGCTAAGACGACTGGGTCATCACGGCTGAAGGTAGATGGGAAAACTTTTCTGGCACTACAAACGTCAGCAATCTGGGTCATCTGGGCTCTCTGGCCTTCACTCCTCTCCTCAGGAAGACTGAAGAGCAGTCATTTTCAGAACCCACTAAACTTGCAGAAACACGCTCTGCAAGTACACATTTTATATTTCGTAATCATTACCTAAGTGATGGACAAAATGGAAATCAGAAAGGTTAAACAAGATCTATTTTTAATTTTCCAGACTCCTTTCATATGAACTTTGAAATCAAAGTTGACCGGAGTGACAGGACCTTGCAGCAGGAACCCTGAGACTTTACAGAGTAGTTTAGGCTTTTGCAGGGTGCTGTACAGTTGACAAAGAGCTTTCTCGTTCTCAGCTCCTTTGATGCTCCCTGATGACCTGTGAGGGGGGCAGTGCTGGATGGATGGGGGGACGACTTTAATCTTCATGTACCAGGCATGTTCACACCTTTTAACAAGCCCGAGACAGGTGCGACTCTCCTGTCTCATCTTTGCAAATGAGGAAACAGCGGTTCAGAGAGAGTACTTGCTTTGCCCGGGGTCACGCTGTTGTGAATGGTGGGACAATTTTATTCCACCTCCTAGCAGTATTCAATCCAGCTGATCAGTTTCTCCTTTCAGAAAAACTTTCTTCGACTGACTTTATGGACACACGATCTCTTGGTTTTCCTCTTACTCAATGGCCACTTCTTCCCAGGTTCTTTTGCTGGATTTTCCTTCTCCTCTCCATCTCAGAATGCTGGAGTACCCCAGTTCGTGGTCCTTAGATCTTTCTACTTTATCCACACTCTCCTCCCAGGTACTTTCATTCAGGTCCTTGGTTTTAATTCCCACCTAGACAAGGGTGGCTTGTCATTCACTGCTCCAGCCTGAACTCCAGACTGGAATAGCCAATTCGTTCCTCAACATTGCCACGAGGGTTCACAGGCAATTGAGACTTAACTTGCTCCAAACTACGCCTCTGCTAAATTTGCTCCTCCCGCAGGGTTCCCCATCTCAGTAACAGCACTACCATCCTTCCACTCATACTCCACATCACATTAGCAAGACCCTGATGAAATAAAATTTCTATTTTAGGGAAGGACAAGGAAAAAAATTCATCATAAAATTCTGTTTGTTTGCGCCTCGTCCCTATCTCCCCAATGTGCAGTATGCATCTGCGTTAGCGCTACGCGTTAGCGCTCCTCAAAGATGGCAGTGCCTGCTCAACCATAAAGATCAATTTTTTTTTTCTTTCTTCTGACGCTAGCAACGTAACTTCTTACAAGAACATTGTTATTTCCCAGCTCTGTAGGGGGTCATGGTGACTTGCTGCCCGCTTTGTACGTGCTTACCTGGTCTATGTATCCTTGGTGAACTTTAAGTGAAACATCAGTACGTCATTTTGATGTACGATCCGTTGTCTCAAAAATGTACAGACTATACCTTCGACTTCTAACGGGAGGAAGAGCTCTCAGAACTTTCTGAGAATCTGCTTCCCAGGTGATAATCCTCAGTTTGGCTCGAATAAAATCCCTTTTTTTTCTTCTTAACTTGATAGTTAATTGAATTTTCGTCGATAACCGTTGGCTCTACAAATTAGATCCCCAATCCTACCCTACTTCTACCACCTCCACTGTAGTCTAACCCATCGTCTGCCTCCATCCCCGTTACAGCTTCCTAACTGCACTCTCTGCCCGCCTCCGTTCTCACCCCTCTCCGGTCTATTCACACACGGCAACCTGAGTATTCCTTGTAAAACTTAAGTGGGACCACCTTACTCTTCCCCAGGCCTCCCAACTCTCTGGGAAAGAATTCCATGACGTACAAGGCCCTATCTGGTCTGGCCCATGGCTACTTCTCATCATTCTTCTCCTAGCTCATTTCGCCTTAGCCACACTGGCATCCAATTCATCACCTGCAATCACCTTCTACTCTACAATCTCTTTGCTTCCACCCTTACAACCTCCCTATCCTCACGACTCCCCTCTGGTCTATTCACACTGAGCAGCCAGAGGGATCTTTCGAAAACTTAAGACACAGCCCATCATCCCTCTGATGCTTCCCATTTTTCTTAGAATAAAATCCAACAGGACCTAGTCTCTGGCTACCTCTCAGACTTCACCTAGCACACCTGGTCCACACAGCGGTCATTTTGAGCTTCTTGAAAGGCCTTTGCCTGTCGCTCCTTTCCCCCGGCAAAGCGCTTTCTCATAAACAGGGCTCTTTTCTCTCTTCGCTGCCCAGCCTTCTCCTTTACTGACCCGGTTTCTATCTTCTTACACTGCTTTGTTTTCCTTCATGATACTTCTCAGCATCACACAGGTAGAACCCCTACCCACGGTCGCCCCCCACCCCCGCCCCGCCCCGCCCCGCCCCGCCCCGCCGAATCTGCTGGCCGCCCTTCCGCTCCATCAGCACAGCCTCGGGGTCGCGCGGCATCACGGGGCTTGTAGTCCGTCCCGCGGCCGCGCCTCCCGACACTACAACTCCCACGGGGCAGCGGGACGCCGCTCCCGCACCGACCGTGTAGGCCGGCCACCTCGCGGCGGGTAGGGGCTGCCGCTGCGGGGGCGGGGCGCAGAGATGGCGGACGTGGTCGTGGGCAAGGAGAAGTGCGGCGAGCAGCGGCTGGTGTCGCTGCCCCTGTCCCGCATCCGGGTCATCATGAAGAGCTCCCCCGAGGTGTCCAGCATCAACCAGGAGGCGCTGGTGCTCACGGCCAAGGCCACGGTGAGGCGGGCAGCGCGGGGAGGAGTGTGGAGCGTGGGGCGGCGGTGGGGCCCACCCGGAACCATCGCGCCCCGCCGGGCCCCGCGGAGCTGCCCAGTCCCCTTCGCGTGCGCGCGCGCGCCCTTTTGAGAGCCGCCTCACTCCCCTTCCACGCCGCGCGCGCCCCAGCTCCCGCGCGCGCTCTTCGCCCCGCCCATCCGGCGCCTCGCCCGCCCGTCTCCCCGCCCACTCCGCTCCCGCCCGCCCACTCCGCTCCCGCCCTCCCTCGCGCGCCCGTCTCCCCGCCCACCCCGCTCCCGCCCTCCCTCGCGCGCCCGTCTCCCCGCCCACTCCGCTCCCGCTCTCCCTCGCGCGCTGGTCGCCACGCCCACTCCGCTCCCCCCGCTTCCTCGCGCGGGTTTGGCCTGGGCGGTAGCGTTGAGGCGCGTGGGCCTTCTTTGGTGTCTCCTCCTCCTTTTCCAGTCACCGTACTCCGGGCCCCAAAGCCTCTCCTTTTGTCGCTTCCGGCCTGTTTCGCGGCTTTGGGCCCCAGCTCCTCAAAACGGTTCATTGAGAGGGCCGGCGGCTCCCTCAGGAGGTACGGCCCGGCCCAGCCGCTCGACCACCCTCTCCCAGTCTCCTGGGCCAGAATTGAAGTAATTTCGGGGACCTCAGTTTTAGCCCCCTCCTAGGTCTAGATAGATGATTTTGTCTCTTAATTTGGTCTAGGTAGGCCAGACCTTCCTGTTCTTATCCTGGGCCAGGTTTCTGCTGCAGAGTCTCCCTCACTTGCTTTAACTTCCCTTCGAGTCTGTTTCCCAGGCCGCCTAGTTCGGTAGACGGTAGACGGTGTCCGGTGCGGTGAGTTGGTCAGAGCTAAGGGAGGGGGGGGAATCATATGGTCTTGGGATAGCTGTACAGTTTCTTTCTGTAGGTCTTAAGGAATTAAGAGATTTGCAGGCACTTCTTATTCCCTTCTTGACTAACTTCGATGGAGTTAAAGTAGAACAGGGAGGGGCTCAGCTCAGGTGGGCTGCCCTCGGAAAGGTGTCCGGGCAGAATGGCAAGCTGACCATTTTTTACCTTTAAGCTAGTGACTGTTACAGTTGTCGGCGGACCACCTTAGACACAGCGTAGTCAAATACAAGACTAAAAGTCTGTTCCTGGCATAGAATTTTTGGATGGTCTCTTGCCAACCCTTCTAACTAGAGATTGGGCATTAAACAAACACGATTCCTTGTTGTATGGCTTTTAAATATTTTTCGTAAGTTAGAAATCTAAAATAAACTTTCGAGGGCTTCCCTGGTGGCGCAGTGGTTGAGAGTCCGCCTGCTGATGCAGGGGACGCGGGTTCGGGCCCCGGTCCGGGAAGATCCCACGTGCCGCGGAGCGGCTGGGCCCGTGAGCCATGGCCGCTGAGCCTGCGCGTCCGGAGCCTGTGCTCCGCAACGGGAGAGGCCACGGCAGTGAGAGGCCCGCGTACCGCAAACAAACAAACAAACAAAATAAATAAATAAAATAAACTTCCGGGAAATTCCTGCTGCCCTGCCAATTTTAATTCAGCCTTGCTTTCTTTCCGACCTCGTATGTCTCCTTTCTCCAGTGATTTTCTGCAATTCGATGAACCAAGATAATCTGAAATCATCTAAACTTAATGTAATTGAAAAGTAAGGTCTGTGGTAAATTTTCAAAGCACACCTTTCATCTTAACTTTCTCATTTTGTTTTAGGAACTATTTGTTCAATATCTCGCCACCTATTCCTACAGACACGGCAGTGGAAAAGAAAAGAAAGCACTCACTTACAGTGATTTATCAGATACCGCAGAGGAATCGGAAACGTTTCAGTTTCTTGCAGGTACTTAGCCTTTGAAACATTCTGGTTAAAAAACAGCTTTTTCCCTGCTCTTTTTCTGCTTTCACTGAAAATGACATTTTGCTGCTGTCTCCAGGTGTCAGAGCTTACCTGGCATGGGGCGAGAGTTTTAGTTTTGTTTAGTGGAGCATGTTTGTAATGCAGTTCACCTAGAGCAGGAATTAAGTTGGCACATGCACGGGGCTGTCTGGGTGGGTGTGGGAGCCGGGCAGCCCACCCCCTCAGACTCGTCCTTACTTGGCTGGGGAAGCAGAAACCCATAGTTGTTGCTGTGGAACAGGCTGTGTGCACCACAGCTAAAAAAGAGCATCCGGTGACCCTTGGGGCCAGCCGCTGTGTCAGGTGGGTCGGGCAGGGCTGCTCCTAGTGGGTGCCAGCACAGAGCAGAGTGTGGTTTGCAGCCACTGGAGTAGATACAGGTGTTGAGCCTTCGTCCAGAGGCAGTGCTGGTTTCCTGCTATGTAGTCTGAATTTTGACTTGTCTTGGAACCTGTTTTAGAGGTCATAGCAGGAACTAGCACGTTTGAAATTTGCATTGCTGATGTTAGCTTTATGTTTTTAAGATATATTACCAAAGAAGATTTTGGCTAGTAAATATCTGAAAACGCTTAAAGAGAAGAGGGAAGAAGAGGAGGAGGAGGAGAATGACAACAACGATGAGACTGATGACGATGAAGCAGAATCCTAAAGCAGAAAGAAGTGCTTTAGAGATCAGCCTGGTGAGGACCCTCATGGATCAGCACCTTTGCTCTGGAGCAGGCATTAGTCTGTTCACGCTTCAGAGACTTCACGTACATGATGTTCTTTCCTGGCTGAGACCAAGCATAATGTACCTCTGCCATAAACAGCCCAAAGGAAAGGAACACAGACAGCAGCTTCTCTTCCCCAGGCCCACACTGCAGCTGGAGTGGGAGAGGACCAAGAAGGGGCTGCGTACCGTGAGACACAGCCAGCCTGCGGCTGTAAGCTATAGAGGCAAAGACAGCTTTGCTTAACTTTCTAGTTTACAGATAGATTTTGAAGAACTTCTAAATATCAGTGTGTAAATTCACATATGTATATTTTTGAAATTCGTTCTTGTGAACAGCTAGATCCTGGTTTAGCTAAATGTGTAGTCTCTGGTACATTTGAATTTTCGTATTTGAAGAAAATTTATGGCTTTGTATATGTCCAAATACTGCATTTTTTTTTTAACTGTAAAGAAATAAATTTTTCTTTTTTAAAAGCTGTATATATTTTTATAGTGAAATGTTTTATGAAACTAGTTTTAGAACCCTCTGTTATTCTAATGCCCTTCTTATTATCTGGAAACATTTGTGAAATTTTAAAATGAGTACTTTTTTATTTTTCCTTTTTATTGGTGGCGCCGTGAGGCATGTGGGATCTTAGCTCTCCAACCAGGGATCGAACCCACGCTCCCTGCAGTGGGAGCGCAGAGTCTTAACCGCTGGACCACCGGGGAGGTCCAAAAATGAGCACTTTCTAATACTTTTATTCCTGGAGAAAAATTTCAAGTCAAATTATTAGATCAAATACAGTAAGAAATATTACCTCTGCATAAGCACGTTTTTCTTAAAAAATTATAAAGCATTTTGTATACTGAAGATCTCGTTTTACTGTTCCTTTCTTTACACCCATAGTAATTGTTTGTACTGTCCACAAGAGAAAACCATAAGCCCTATTGTTTTTCACATAGGGTAAATTTTGGCTTTTGCCTTTTCTTTTTTTTTTCCAATTGAGTTCGAATTTTCATCCAGTAGAATCACCCTTTAATGTCCATTCTGTTGGTTGTGTAAGCAATCAATATATAGAACAGTTCCATCACCCCAAACATTCCTCTGTATACCCTTGGAGTTAGTTCCTTCCCTTATCCCCAGGCAATCAATCACTGATGTTTTCTGTCCCTCTTGTTTTTAAAATTTATTTTAAAATATTTTAAAATCCACTTTTTGGTGTACAGTTCTGAGTTTCGACAGATGCAGAGTCATGTAACCACCACCACAATTAAGATACAATAGTTCTGTCACCTCCCCCAAATTCCCTCATGGTTAAACTCCTTCCTACCCTTTACCTTGGCAGCCACTGATCTAGCTATTCTCTGCCCCCAGAGGAGTCAGCAGCCATTTTCTGGAAAGGGCCATGTGGAAAATACTTGAAGTTTTATGGGCTACATAATCTCTGTCACAGCTAGTCAACTCTGCTGTTGTAGTTCAAAAGCAGCCACAGTCAACACATACAGGAATGAGCTTGGCTGTACCTCGAGAAAACTTTATTTCTGGACACTGAAATTTAAATTTTATATAATTTTAATGTGTCATGAAATCTTTTGCCTTGTTTTCAACCATTTCAGAATGTAAAAGCCATTATTAGCTTATAGGCCATACAGAAACACAGCAGGCCACATTTGACCCACAGACCATGGTTTGCCCACCCATCTTTCCAAAGCGTCATATAAGTGGAATCACATAGTAGTAGCCTTTGAATCTGACTTTTTTATATTTAGCATAGTGCATTTGAGATTCATCCATGTTGTTGCAGGTATCAGCAGTCTGTTCTTTTTTATTGCTGAGTAGCATTCCTTTGTATGGATATACCATTTGTTTATCCATTCCACAGGTGAATGGATAATTTCCAGTTTGGGTTGTTTCCTGTTTTTTCTTTTTCTCTTTTTTTCCTTTTAAAAAATCTCAAAAAATTTTTCTTGTTTCCGGTTTTGATGATTACAGATAAAGCCCTATAAGCCTTTGGTACAGGTTTTGTGT